AGCTCCTCTTTTCAGATATTAAATACAGTAACATACAAAAGGCACCTTGGACAAAGCTTACAGGCTCTAACTGCATTCTGATGTGGGTGTGAAAGTCTCCTCTGCAACACAGCGGGCTCAATTCTTCCTCCTCTTCATTACCCCCCCCCCCCCCCACTCCTCAATGAACATCTCTTTTTCACTGCATGTCCTCGTTGCTTCTCTAATATCTTTGTCTGCTTTCTGTCATGCATTCTCCCTCAAGTTCCACCGTTCCCCTCCCTTTCTCCACGCTCTCTCCTCTTCTTCATGCTCCTCTCTCTCTGTCCATCTCCATCTGCACCCCCTCCCCTCACTGGAAGGCGCACAGACACAGATAATACTGCGGCTACATGCTGCTTTGGCAACACACTGCAGCAGGCGAAGCGCTCTCCACTGCAGCCTTTTTTCTCTTGTGACCTCAGGATGAGAAGCAGCTCTGGGTCTAAATTCGTCTGGATTGAGCAAACGGTGGATTTGGTTCAAACTCATGTTGGTTTGTAGGTGGAATACGGATCATGTGCTACTTTAAACATCTGCTGCTTTCACCAGCACATTGACAAATGCAGTGTGCACCAATCAGCCAAAGCATTATGTTCACTGAAAGCCAAAAGGGAAAACATTGATTATCTTGTTACAAGCAGTGAGGGGGGGCAGGAGGGATGAACATTCTGTCCTTGAAGTTGTTGAAAGAAGAAAAAAGAAACCGACAAGTGTGAGTTTTTGAGGCACAAGAGCCAAAATTTGATGCCTAAACAGCTGAGTCATAGCGACTCCAGAGCTGCAGCTGTTGCGGGGACGTTCCCAGCCTGCAGCGGCCAGGACTTACAGGCAACAGGGTCACCGACGCATGTGGGGAGCAAAGAGTGGCCTGTGTTGCTCTAAAAAGTTACCATTAGTTTGAGCAGAACATTGTCGAAACATGCATTGCATTTGGGATTGTGCAGCAACGGACCGGTCAGAGAACTTATGTTAAAACAGGCGAAAGACGTTAAAGCAGCTGCACTTCACACAGTTGGACAGAAAAGACAGAATAATAGAATGTGCTGGTCTGATTTGAAGAACTGTGTTTGTTGTATGCGTTCTGCAGATCAGAGGCTCTGATGGAGAGTCAGGACGCAAGTGTGTGTCACGAAACAACAAGTGGAGATTGTCAAAGGTCAAATTAAAATTTGAAATGAAAGATAATTCAATATTTTCACAATAAGTGTTGTCAGAAATAAAAAAGGCTTTGCAGAAATGAATGAAAACTAGAAAAAATATGGTTAAAATTGTCCTTTTCCCCTTTAAGAATTGGCTCAGTCAACTGTTCGTGTTGTAAATAGTACTTTGTATGACCTCTATTTGGAGAATAGTTTAATTCTGACTGGATTAATAAGATCACGGTTCATCTGAGTGGGGCTAAAGTAGATATCTGATGTTTTAAAACAACTCTAATCCCAAAATGTTATGGTAGCTCATTGAAAAACTACTTTGCAAACCTTTACACTATCATAAATTTTGGATATGCAGGCAGCATATTAGCCATTAACTTGCAAATTTGGTCACAATTACATCAAGTCTATAAAATGTGCCAATTTAAAGTGTTATCTATAGCTGGTAATATATTATTGGTTCATATCATTTGATCAGCAGAGCCCCGCCTTCTAAGATCTGAACTAGCCCTTTAACAAAAGAAGGTAAGCCGGTGTGGCTGGTCAACGGGAAACTCTGGGTCCTTGACACGTGGCGACGAGCTAACCACGGATGCTAATGGTGCACACCTCCTAATAGAAATCCAAGATGGCTGTGGCTTCTCTCGGCTCGTCGTGACTCTGACATGATGCTGAAACAGTTTAGGGAGCACCAGCTTGACGTGTTGGGCCTGGTCTCATTAACAACCAGTATCTGTAGGACGTGAAGCTCCACCTCATCGCTGACTGTAAACAGCTCTGCTCGGGCAGTTTGTCGTTTTCAGACAAACGCTGCAGATCTGGGCCCCCAATATCAGGCGGTCATAATGTTATGGACGAGTGGAGGATTCCTCCCACTTCCTACCTATAGGCTTATCGTCCCAGATTCGCCCTGTCTTGCCTTCTTCCCTGAAGCATGACAGAAATAGGCGTGCTGCTGGAACACGGTGTGACGTTTTTATTGAACAGTTAACAACACATCCACACGTACACAAACACAACGCACGGTGACAGACACCGAGTGATCACAGGGCATGAAAGGAAGCACAGTGATGCCATTGTTGGAGCATCCAGGAGTAATTTAAGGAAACGTCAGTGCTGACAGACGGCCACACAAAGAAACACACAGGGATGCTTTTATATGAAAACATACAGGAATAAAAGTGCACGCCAAGTGAGGGAGAGGGGAAACAAAACGGAACTGTCCCTTAACGTGAGCTTTAACAGTTGCTAACTTGTTTATCATATCATGCCCTACATGTAAAGATATCCTGTTGAACTCGTTTTAAATCGTGAGCGCCGCAAGTGAAAACTGCACCGTATCGCTGCTCGGTCATGTTTTATCCATCACAGCTACTGTGGGAATCAGCCTGCTCGCTCGCTGCTTTGTAACTCTAGATTTTCTTTGATATTTTTGCTTTACCAGCACTTCAGCCTGCTAAGATAATCATATACGGTTTCACGGGCCACGAGCCTGTTCGCAGGCTTCCAGAGAAAAGTCAAGCAAACATGTGCCGCCACCAGGGGATTCTCCAACCCCTGCATGATTCAACCTACTTTATGTAATTACCATTAAATGTAATTGTCATGCAGCGACTCGCCTTTATTAGATTAATTTTTCATAAAAGTTTGCACAGTAGGTCTTGGAGATCTGCAAGTCTTTAAATGTTACACTGAGTAAAGTGATCTGCTGTGTGTCGAAACACGGGAATAAAGCAAAGTGTCGCACTCTGAGAGTCTCACGATCTGCTTCTGAAGCCAAACTGAAGTTTTATTATGCCGGAGAAATAAAAGAAGCTGCTTTGAAATGCAAGATGGATGTCTTCTTTTCTGCTACAAGTGTTTGCTGGTTGTCAGGCCTGCATGCAGAAAACTCCTGAGAACACAATGGCTTCTTTCTTTATCTGCAAAGAGCTGCTACTCTAATAATGCAGCTCAGCTTAAGTCTGCTAACAGTAAACAATGGATCTGAAAGGTGGCCCTGACAAGAAAGAATCGTTATTGGGCTTGAATGTGAACGTGTGCAAAAAAAAAAAGTCCAGAAGCACTTCTCCTCCTCTGAACTTCAGATTGTGTGGGATGTCTATAAAAATCCCCCTGCAGCTACAAGAAGATGAAACCTCTGCGGTATGAAGCAAAGACACACACGGTGGTTTTAAGGCACTTAAAATAAAAAAGTCACCAAACTTCCTGCCTTGTTGTGGGAAAACATTTCTCCTCACCAGCAAACTGAACAGTGCTTTAAAACTGAAATGATTTGGAGTTTATTTTACAAAGACGTGCTGAAATACTATGAAGAGTTTTGTTCATCCTTGTATTATAGACGTGCTGTAAATGAAGTGACCTTAGTATCACAGGTGCTGTTAGCCGAAATAAATGAAACGTGCAGAAGTTTAGTATCGGCGTGTTCATCACACTGAACATGGAGCAGAGCTGCCAGTATTGTTAAAACGTACAAGTTTCAGGGGACTGCTCCCTCCCAGGTGTGAGGATCAGTATATTCTGATTATTGTTTTGATGGTTCTGTTATTTGTGTTTGATCGGTTCAGTTTTCCCTGTTCAGCTCTTACTCCTCAGTTTTGCCACCTGTTCCTGTTTTGTTATCTGCTCAGCCGTTTCTGTTTTTTGTTCATTTAGTTTCTGGTTACATACACTCTCCATTTCTAAGTCTTCTGTGTCTGTTTTATGATTTGCTCTCTGTTCCCGTATTCTCATTCTGGTGAATATTATTGTGTCGTATTTTTCCAGACTTCAGTTTTTCTAGTTTTAATAATGAACATTTTAGGTTTTGTTTTGAACTTCTCGCCTCCCGTCTGCATTCTGAGTCCGTTCGTTTACTATCCTCCACATACCGTGACACTGGGATGTGGATGCAAGAGGAAATGCGACCCCAGGTTATTCAGACAGAGAGTTAGATGGAAGAAAAGAACCAAGGAAACCATCCAAAGCCATTCAAGCCAAACTCCAATGTCAAGATGTATCACTTTCTGATGGCACCTTCATCTCATAATGGACTTCATCAAGCAGCAGAAAAAAACTCAACAAAACAAACAAGAATTTTCCAAAATGAATGTTGACAAGCTCCAAGGTTTTTGGGACTGATGAGACAAAACTGGTTCTGTTTTTCTAATATTATTGTGGAAGGATGCCAGCATGTATGTTTGTTTCTGTGCATGGCTCTTCAGGGACAACCCTCCTTAGTTAGGGGAGGGAGAGTGATTTGCATGCGAGTTCAGATCACACAAGCGGAGCAACTCGCTGAATTTTGAAAGCTTGTCACATTACATTTTTCAGTTTGAACTGAGAGCGCTCCTTGGGGAAGCGAAACATCTTAGAACATCTTAAAACAATCTCAGGACAGCCATAAACTGTTCAATGTAATCAAAATTGACAGGAAATGCAGTGGAAGCAACGCACACTTAGTTTGGTTCTTTCTGTTGCATAGTGCTCACAAAGTTCATCTTGCTTCATTTGGGCAATACAAAAAAATAAAAGTATAAAAATGTAAAGGTTGCACCCCATTCCATGGGAAAACCTTGGACGTTCTGTGTCTGTTGGACCTGGTTGTGGAGGGCAGTCATCACTGCAACAAGTGGTCTAACTTTCCCCTGCATCTACGTTCCATTCACTGCTGGGTACAATGCACTAATCCACTGACTTCTGGGTCAGAACCACAAGTTTGGACAGTTGATCTTCATGTGTGTTACCACCGCTGCATGCCTGTTTTTTACATCCCTCAGCTGGCAAGAGAAAAGTCACAATAGCAACAATATGTGCCTCCTTGCTGGTTGCTTGGGAGTGGGTACTCACTGCTTTGGACGTTGACGGTGCCAGTGGAGTTGTCCCTCCCCAGCAGGTTCTCCACCACACACGTGTAATTCCCAGAATCCTCCAGCTTTGCTTTGCTGATTTGGACTCTGGAGAATTTCCTGTGGGTGACAACAGTCGCACAGCTGAGTCAGGGGAACCGGGGCAGGGAGGAAACAGCAACATGTGGAAACACGAGGACAAAACGGAAAATCTGCTGGGTTTAAGATGGCAGAGTAAATATGATGAGAAGCAGCAGTGTGAGGAGCTGGAGCTGGTCTACAGCCCCACCCTTTATAAATTCAAAAACCATTGAAGGGTTTTCTATTATATACTCTTCATAATCTCTTATTTGGGGCATTTTCCTTTAAAAAGCAGCCTTGTTTAACTTCAGCTCAGCAGCAGACATCGAGGGGTAATTACAGGATTCAAGCTCTTTCTGTCTTTCTTTTATTGATGCCACTTCTCTGAGCTGGATGATTTAGTTATGCAACTGTTCATTTACAGCCAAAGTTATTAACAAAAACAGTAAAAAATACTTGCTGGCTGCAGCATCATCGGGTAACCTTGATGTTAATTTAAATCAAATCTGCTAAATATTGTTTTCCCCTCTAAAGATCCTTAAAACAAGACATCAGGAGACCAAAAGCACATTTAGTTTTAACTCTGTCTTACATTTTGTTTAAAAAACATCAAAAATACATTCCAGATCAGGTGGTTATTCATTAAAAATGTAAATCGACACCAGTCTGTGGTGTGTTGCAGGAATTGGTAACATATCTATGGAGCAAGACTTTCTCTTTGTGTATTTTATGTTTGACTTTACTCCTGTGATTTAAATCACTTCATCATGTCAAGAACAACATGCCAGAATGTTGCATAATCATAACCCAAGATGATTAAAAATAAATAAATCACCCTGCATGTTGAGCTGTAGTGTTTCTGAGACGTTTTCACAGGGGTCTCAAGGTGCAAAGCACAACTATACTGGGCAGAAATTTAAAGAAAGTGCAAAACACTTAAAAAATTTTTACCAAGCATAATTAAAATCAAACAAGCTGATAAAATGAACAGAACACACACAATAATCTTTTAAAGCAGTAAAAATAAACACACCATCTCATAGTAAACGTGAAAACTAGGGATGCACGATATTGGATTTTTGGCCGATATCCGATATGTTAAAACTTATTTGGCCGATAACCGATACCAATACCGATATTTTTTTACCCTAGACCTACTTACAGAGACTACATAGCTTTCTCTGCTGTGTACTACATTATTCTGCATGGTCTTTGTCAGTTTGGCTTGCTACCAAATGCAGATGCCAAAAAGGGGGCTGAAAATGATGCAACACTTCAACTTGGATTATGTTTAATGTCAAATTTATTCAACTCTCTCTAACACGATGACAACACTTGAACAGTGCAAATTTGTAAATTTTCACAAATCTAAACTCAATGGCACGCGTGACGTCATAACGTTGTGCTGGCGCTGCAGGCATCCTTGTCACTGGGTTGTCATACAAAAACAGAGCCTTTTATATCGGTGAGTTATTTTGATGGAATGGTCGATCGCTAACATCGGCTGATACCAATACCATGCCGATAATATCGTGCATCCCTATTTAAAACACTAATCATACCAACATTTTTTGAACAAATTCATATTACCTGTCATCTTTCGTGGCTAAGTATCTGTTAGATCTCTGAGGATGTGTTGGGGATGACTTTCAGTTACTATCACACCAGACTTTAGCTCAATATCTACAACAATGAATGACATATATTTATATTTATCTCTCCTAAAGTCAAGAGCTCTGCCAGCCATCTCAAATCAAGACTGACTAAAGGTTTGTCAGTTGTGGAAGTAAAGCCATGGGTTGGTTGCATCAAAATCTAACCAGGGATTAATAAAATATTTTGTTAACAGACAAACAAGCAATTGCATCATTGCCCATTTTTCATGACGGCGAGCAATCAAATGGCAATAAAATAAATTAAAACGCAAAAATGTTTCAGAAAATCAAGTTTAATTTGCTGTTGTGCTTTGAACCTGACGACCACACAGTTCAGGACCATGGAGGACCATACAGGACTGATCAGGACCATACAGGTCTGATCAGGACCATACAGGACTGATCAGGACCATACAGGACTGATCAGACCATCTGTTGGACTTTATCAAACCCTGGGATGCTGTGATTGTGCTGCACTGGGAGTCTTTGAGTCAGTGAAGAACTGTTTGATGTGTGTAGACGTTACATGAAGGTAAGGAGCAGAATCAAAAGCTTTGAATTCACCTGGCAATCTTTATTTTAATGTTTCTGCTCTTCTTCAGCTCGTTGCCATCTTTGAACCACCTGTAGGTGGGGACAGGGTTCCCCGTGGCCTCGCACTTCACTGTCAGCGGGCTCCCCTCATCCACTAATGTTGGAATCTTGATGGGTTTTAACTTTGGAGCCGATGCTGAAACGAGGCAAAAGAGACGGGGGTAAATCAACAACTTCAGCACAGAGCAGAGACAAATGGATCACTTTTGATTTGTGTATTTTTATGAGTTTTAGGAGAGGAGCGGAGGGAGGCAGAGATGAGCCAATAAGTGTCTCAGGTGACATCCAGATGTGCACACTGGAGACATCATCAGCTTCGCCTCTTGGACTAATAAACAGGCTCATATTCAGGCTGCTTCGGCTGCTGTGAAAACACCTGAAGCTACAGTCAAGGAGCGTCCAGCAGTGGACAAAGAAACGTCTGTGACCACAAACTAACGCACAATCAGAGGCAATCTGTAATCAAGAAAAAACACTAAAGTTCACAAACCAGATATAAAAAAAAAATCAGACTTTTTCATTAATCTTTTTTAATACATTAAAATTCTTAGTCTAACTTCTATTAAATGGACAATTTAAACATTTATGAACAGGGTTCAGTGGGGAAATAAACAATTACTATCTTACCTGTTGTAGACTAACTTTAGAACAAACCTGAGCTATGAGCTAACCTAAGCGGGGCTAACTCGTGACATTTGTTTTCATAAACCAGAGATCCACTTTGATCTAGACCCGCCTGAACCATACGTTAGCTACAGCTAGAGTGCTACGTTTTCCAAACCGAGGTTGATCAGAGACCTATCTGCAACAGGTAAGATACTAACTGCTTCAGGTTTGTAAGCTCAATCATCCAGGTAGATAAAAAGAAACCAGGTTAAATCTGGACTTATAACCTTCCATTGTTTCACTGTTTCTGTTTGTTGACTCGTTATCTGGTTTGTGTTGTTTATTGGAAAAGACATTTTAATTGATGAGACATAAAGACTGATGTGTCTCCAAACACACACACATACACACAGAGGACACACAGTTGCACACAGAGGACACAATCACACTCAAGAGGACACACACTCACACGCAGCAACACTTGCAGATAACAGCTGCACACATGTTGAGCGGAAGCCTCATTGGGACAGAGCAAGAGAGACAGTAAAAGGGGTCAGTCGGGGTCAGACCCCCCCACCCCAACAGTGCCCCCCTCCCCTTCACACTTTCCCTCCATGAGTAACACTGTGGATTTCATGCACACGCTGAGTGGAGCAGTCCTGCGGCTGACAGTCGTCTGAAGACAAACAAATCAGGACGAGCAGAACAAAGCTCACTCAGGTAACCGCTTCAATTAACCACACACACACACACACTGTCCAGACTGTCCTCTTTTTGAAGAGAATGTCCCACTTCACTGACCTAATAAGAGACATGTCTGCAGGAGAGAAACAATGATGCTGCAGATGCTGATGGGGTGTGTGTGTGTGTGTGTGTGGGGGGGGGGGGGGGGTGTCAGATGGCTCATGTCTGAGTTTATCTGACAAATTAAAGTGCAACTCAGACGGTACAGATTAGTCCTTCAGTTTTCTGCCGTGTTGTCAGATCTGGTTCTTCTTGTTTGGATGTCTTCACAGCAAACAGCAGAAAATACAACTAAACCTGAGTCATCCTAAATCTCGACACCTACAATCTGCTCAGCTGGCTCCAAAAATCTGAGCGCAGACAGAGGTCAAAGTTCTCAGAACCAACAACCGATCACTTTGGTACCAGCTCATAAACAGCCTTGCAGTTTCTGCTATAACCCAACACCATAAACATGATAATGATCACTTTAATTGATCAGATTTGTATCATAATATCGAAGGGATTATAAGCCATCATCCCGCACAATATTTCAATAATTTATCATCAGCTGTAGACAGCACGGTGGCGCAACTGGTAGAGCTGCTGCCTCTCAGCAAGATGGTTGCTGATGCAAATCCTGGTCCGGGGGCCTTCCTGGGTGGAGTTTGCATTTTCTCTCCGTGCATGCAGGTACTCCAGTTTCCTCCCACATACCAAAACATGTAAAACGTGTATGTTAGACTGATTGGTAACTCTAAATTGTCCCTAGGTGTGAGTGAGAGAGTGAATGGTTGTTTGTCTCCATGTGTCCCTGTGATGGACTTTCGACCCATCCAGGGTGTCCCCCGCCCCTCATACAGTGATTGCTGGACATGGGCACCAGCGACCCCTGTGACGCAAAATGGAAGAAGTGGGTAAAAGATAATGGATGGATGGATGGATCATCAGCTGTAGAAGGTTAAAGTCTCTGTGCATCATTCTCCTCCTGCCAGTAAATTAGACATATTAAGGTGGACTCACTGTTCAAGATGGCTGCTCCTGGTTTTGATCCCACCAGGTTGCGACGGCTGGGGATGATTATGAGCCGCATTAGCGAGGGGCTTTGGAAAATGGTTTAGCAAATTTCTGCAAAGATTCTCAACTTCCTCTCTCATTGTAGAAACTCACTCACATGCTGCGGGGATTTGAAGCAACAACTAAATTACTCCCACAGTGCTGCCGGTGTCGTTGCTGGGGTCTGAATCCTGCCTGAACCCTGTCTCGGTTTATCTAACAAGGTTGAGTCAGGTCCTCTGGACGGATTCTTCTTTGTTGAAACTTTTCGTCTTTTATCCAAAGGACTTCATCAGTTGGAGGAGCTGCAACAAACTCAGTCTTATGAATAGCACCTTCTCACATTGGATCAACCAGTTTGCTGCTGACAGCCAGAACTAGCTATTCACATGTAAAAGGAGGACAATCAGCCTAACAATTGATCGTTAGTGCTCTAACAAGTGGTTAAGAGCCCTGATGATTGCATACTATTCACAGAGAGCTGAGTGATACTAGCAATAACAGCACTGTAAGAGGGTGACAACATGGAGGCCTACGCCCCTGTTTAATATGGACGGGTTCACTTCACAAAGATGGCTTCCTTCACTCCTCTCTCAAACCAACATTCCTCTCTGTCAAGGATGTGAACATCTTCATCTCTGCAGAGTGACCGCTGGCCTGCGGATGAGTGTAGACCACAGAGTCCTGGCCTGATGATGTTGCTCTTCTGTGCTGGGTCATCCTTGTGGCCAGTGGCTGTTTCAGTTACCCTGATGTAAGACTGAGTGTCAGGAAGGCTGTGATCAGTTATACATCTGGTTATACAAGTTTATCTGGCAACCCTGACGCAGGGCTCAGCTACATTCATTGTGCATGCAGTGTCTGCATGATCACAGTAAAGGCTCCCACAGACTCAAGCACACTGTGATCCGCGTGGACACTGCGCGCAGTCCGCAGATGGTTGAGACTTCATACTCGAGCATACACCCTGATGGGCTGCAGTCAAGCTTTGCAGGCAAGGGGCGTTTACCTTCGGGACAAATTGAAGTCGCCAATTGGTCATTTGCTGACATGCCGACTGGATTGCCAGGTCACAAAAAAACACACACAAAAAAAAAAAAAAAAAAAAAAAAAAACGAGAGCTGGCAGCCCCAGCTGCAGTGGTGTTCTGTGTTTATATGTTGTTAATAAAACATGCTAAAAAAAAAAAAAAAAAAAATAAAAACAGGGAGCGCTGGCCCTGCAGCCCACACATCAGACCAGCCCACCAGGAACTCTCCAGACCCTCCCGCAGCCACGCTGGACCTAAGTTTAATTCTCTCGTGACAAATTCCTTCATTTCTCACCATTTCAGTCACGGCACCAACGGGAGAGGAAGAAGAGATCGCTTGCCTCTTGGAAAAAAAACTAAAGAAAAGACCATTAAACCAGACTATGGATGAAGAAGGGGAATTTAATACATTGGTGTCGCATACAAAACAGTCTGTCACCGGGCAGTTTATTGTGTGACACAGAGTATGTGTACTCGGTCATAAAAAATTTTCTTTGTGCGGACATGCTCTGTGGGCGTCAGCTCCAAGTCTAATCCGGTATGCGCGGACCTCTGCGGACTGAAGTGCGCCCGAGTATGTGGGATCCTTTACGTCCAAACTGGTGAACACATTGACGTCTCTTTAGATCCTGGATTTTATTATGGTAGTTTTGCTCCTACATGCTGAAAAAGGTTGAGTAGTACAAAAACATTCTGCTCTTTGTCATTTATTATAACTGTTGTAAAAACGACTTTTGGCCGCAGCCGCCTGTATTGTGCATGTGCGACTTTCACACTTGCTGAGATTTCACACCTCTGCGGGGGATTCACTCGAAAATCTCCACTCGGAAACCTGGGTACAGAAACCTTCAGTTTCAGAGAGAATGAGGGCTGTTGTCATGTAAAGAACAGCCGAAACACTCCAAAAACACGTTGTGTAAACAGGGTCTTAACCTTGCTAGATTTTTCTACCTGGATTATTGAACATGCAACATGACATGTCTCAATTTAGTTTCCAGGAGTCAGAAAGCGTGAGGAACAACTTTGAGTCTGATGGTGACTGATTAGAGACAGAAAACAAACGAAACTGACAAAATAAAGATCCTTGGTGATAATTATGACACAGAAAACGTTTACATTACATACCTACATATGCAAACGTGTTGTAAATACAAGTTCAGAGTTATTTCAGGTGAAATGTTTGCACCGTATTTTTTAGACTATAAGTCGCACTTAAAATCTTTTTATTTTCTCTAAAATCGACAGTGAGCCTTATAATCCAGTGCGCCTTATGTATCAATTCTGGTTGTGCTTACTAACCTCAAACTGATTTTATGTGGTACACGGCGCTCTAAAATCTGTCAAAATGAACTTGGTTCGCTTAATGCACCAATCCGGTGTGCCTTATAGTCTGAAAAATACAGTATTTCTTGTCATTTTTTTGTCTCTAATCATTCACAGCTCGGCGAGGAAGAGGCTTAAAGAGAATTTAACGTGTTGTGATGACCGAAGTAAAAGAGAAAAGAAAATGTGGGTAAATCACAAGAGATGAAGTCTTCCTAGTATCCTGATGCATGCTCAATAATCCAGGTAGAAAAATCTAAAAAAGTTAAATCTGGTCCTTTGGACATTCAAAAAAAAAAAAAAACAAAGTAAAACAACAAAAAAATGTAGAAACGTTTCATCTTTCATCCGAAATACTTCCTCAGTCTGAGGTGCTGTATTCAGCTCAGTCTCTTAAA